TTATTTTCTTCTTTTGTCTTTGTTCAGTTCTGGTATTTGGGTAATGCTGACCTCAAATGTCAAGTTGGCAAAGGTTATAAAAATATTTTGTGTGAATGAGAATCTGAAACAAAAAGGAAGTCGCATGTTCACCTGTGAGCTAGAAATGAATTAATAGTTTTTTCCCCTTTGAATGTGCCAGGTTGTGCATTCTAGAATTTGTCATGGGCTCTGAAATAATGTAAGGAGATGGTGCTCTGGCAAGAGTTATACATAGATAAAAATAGAATCAGTAGAAAGTGAGGCTAAGTCACACCCACTGCTACATGAAGTAAACTTTGAGCAATTGGTTTAGACATAAAATTATTCACCCTGTTCCAACTTTGTACAAAGCCTTTTTTTTTAAAAAAAATTGCTTTTCTGATAACATTAAGAGGAAAACCTTAATGGCATATGTAGTTTTAACAACTTTAAAAAGGTATTATTATAACAAAAAAGGTATACACTAGATCAATTTTTTTTTTTTTTTTTTTGAGACAGGGTCTCACTCTGTCGCCCAGGCTGAAGTGCAGTGATGCAATCTCAGCTCACTGCAAGCTCTGCCTCCCGGGTTCACGCCATTCTCCTGCCTCAGCCTTCTGAGTAGCTGGGACTACAGGCTCCCGCCACCATACCCAGCTAATGTTTTTGTATTTTTAGTAGAGACAGGGTTTCACCATGTTAGCCAGGATGGTCTCCATCTCCTGACCTCATGATCTGCCTGCCTCGGCCTCCCAAAGTGCTGGGATTACAGGCGTGAGCCACCGCACCTGGCACACTAGGCCAAATTTTTTAAAGCCTGTGTATAAGTTTGTGGACTCCTTACAGAGAAAAATTAATTTCCTAGATGTTACGTGTTGACTTTCATTATTTTTATTATGATGTTATTTGACATTTACAAACATACAACTGTAAGCTCTTATTCTTGGCTTTTACACAACTATGAAAACGACACACATAAATATGAACAGAACTTTGAAAACAATGAAATGCAGGCTAATAACATTAATTTAGTGTAAGAGATAATATTATTTTGCTGAAACTAAATTGGTGCTTACGGTTTGAATGCAGTGCTCGGCTTCTCCATGGGCCCTTTTGAGTTTGGCAGGCCTGTATTACTGGGTGCCATGTATTGACACCATTCTTCAGGCATTTTTCTCCATTTGAACTGTTTGTTTTTATCTCACTGGCCACTTCCTGTAAGTACTCATCTAGCTCTGTGCCTCTGTTCTTTCCCTTTTAGCTAGAGATTATAAAGTGCCATTCAACATCAAGACAAATGTAAGTGCAGGTAGTGAAATTGTGTACCAGTACCCAGCCTTAAAAGTCTGATCCAGAATATGGTCATCTTAATTTGTTTTAGATTATCATCAAAAATGCATAATTTAGAAATCTAGAGAACTGTTGACTTTCAATAATATAAATCACTGCCCTTGGGCTCAATAGCAAAATATTAGAAGTCTCAAAAGAGGAGAAGGCTAGAAGTGTCACCAAGGCCCAGAGGCCCTGGTGACCCTGTCAGGGCACGTAGTGAATATTTCACTCCTGAGTCCTGGGAAGCCTGAGTGTAGAAATAGAGGAGCCAGAGAGCAGACATAGAAAGAGCGAGATGGAGAAACAGTACCAGGTGTGCTTGTTAAAGCCAGGATGGATGTGCAGCTGCCATCTTCCTGTACTCCACACCCAAGAAGGGCTCCTGTCTTGCTCATTGCCTTCTACAGCAAAAATCTTTTTTCTTTTATTATTATTATTATTATTTTTTATTATACTTCAAGTTCCAGGGTACATGTGCACAACGTGCAGGTTTGTTACATATGTATACATGTGCCATGTTGGTATGCTGCACCCATTAACTTGTCACTTACATTAGGTATATCTCCTAATGCTATCCCTCCCCCCTCCTCCAACCCCATGACAGGCCCCGGTGTGTGATGTTTCCCTTCCTGTGTCCAAGTGTTCTCATTGTTCAATTCCCACCTATGAGTGAGAACATGCGGTGTTTGGTTTCTTGTCCTTCTAATAGTTTGCCGAGAATGATGGTTTTCAGCTTCATCCATGTGCCTACAAAGGACATGAACTCATCCCTTTTTATGGCTGCATAGTATTCCATGGTATATATGTGCCACATTTTCTTAATCCAGTCTATAATTGATGGACATTCAGGTTGGTTCCAAGTCTTAGCTATTGTGAATAGTGCCCACAACAAACATACATGTGCATGTGTCTTTATAGCAGCATGATTTATAATCCTTTGGGTATATACCCAGTAATGGGATGGCTGGGTCAAATGGTATTTCTAGTTCTAGATCCTTAAGGAACTGCCACATTGTCTTCCACAATGGTTGAACTAGTTTACAGTCCCACCAACAGTGTAAAAGTGTTCCTATTTCTCCACATCCTCTCCAGCACCTCTTGTTTCCCGACTTTGTAATGATCGCCATTCTAACTGGTGTAAGATGGTATCTCATTGTGGTTTTGATTTGCATTTCTCTGATGGCCAGTGATGATGAGCGTTTTTTCATGTGTCTGTTGTCTGCATAAATGTCTTCTTTTGAGAACTGTTTATTCATATCTTTTGCCCACTTTTTGATGGGGTTGTTTGTTTTTTTCTTGTAAATTTGTTTGAGTTCTTTGTAGGTTCTGGATATTAGCCCTTTGTCAGATAAGTAGATTGCAAAAATTTTCTCCCATTCTGCAGGTTGCCTGTTCACTCCGATGGTAGTTTCTTTTGCTTTGCAGAAGCTCTTTAGTTTAATTAGATCCCATTTGTCAATTTTGACTTTTGTTGCCATTGCTTTTGGTGTTTTAGACATGAAGTCCTTGCCCATGCCTATGTCCTGAATGGTATTGCCTAGGTTTTCTTCTAGGATTTTTATGGTTTTAGGTCTAACATTTAAGGCTTTAATCCATCTTGAATTAATTTTTGTATCAGGTGTAAGGAAGGGATCCAGTTTCAGCTTTCCATGTATGGCTAGCCAGTTTTCCCAGCACCATTTACTAAGTAGAGAATCCTTTTCCCATTTACAGATGCTTGTAGATGTGTGGTATTATTTCTGAGGGCTCTGTTCTGTTCCATTGGTCTATATCTCTCTACAGCAAGTTTCTTGGACTCTGATGTCACAGGAAGACACATGAACCCGGAGCACAATAAAATATGACTTATGGTGCCAGGGTATAATGGTGTGATTTCAGATATTTACATATGGGTTTTCTGAAAGCAAGACGCATCTTTAGTAAAACAGGGAGAGTTGTTCTTTTCCTAAAATGTTGGACTTGCTTTGTGTGCCCTTTATTTATGTACAATTTTTAAAATTGTAGCAAGAACATTTTGCATGCAATCTACCCTCTTAACAGAGTTTTAAGTGTATAATACAATATTGATAAGAATCGGCACAGTGTTGTAGAGCACGTCTCTAGAACTTATTCATCTTGCATGACTGAAACTTTATTCCCTTTGAAGAGCAACTCCCCCCTTTTTTTTTTTTCATTTTCTTCTCCAGCCCCTGGCAACCATCATTCCACTCTCTGCTTCTATGAGTTTGACTATTTTAGATGCCTCCTATACATGGAATCAGGCAGTATTTGTCCTTCTGTGACTGGTTTATTTTACTTAGCTTAATGTCCTCAAGGTTTATCCATGTTGTCACGCATTGCACGATTTCCTTCTTTTTCTAAGGCTGAATAATATACCGTGTGCCCTTTAGATAGGCAGCAAATACACTGCCCTATCTTTCAGTCCCACCTAACCCAACTGTTCTTTGTCTCTTGTCAATTTTTTAGCCTTTTGTCATTTCCTAAATGCCTTCCTGGCCCCTATCAACTGGAGGCACATAAACAGAATGAAAGGCAGTCATAGAATCCATGGAGGGGCTGAGGCCTGAGGAGGAACTTGCTTGGGTATCTCATCCCATGGCTGCGCAGTGCTGGTCCAGCAGCTCCCTGCCCGCTCCAGAGAATCACTGCTACACTTCATCATCAGTACTCCATGGACCACCTTATACATTGTTTCTGGAAGGTTTTTCCATCACTTCCCTCTCCCTGCAGAAACATCCTTCTAATGGGGACGGGGTTGAATTCCTGTTGTCCATTCATCCTTTAACCTCGCTATTGGGCTTGGCCTTGGCCTTGGCCTGCCTGCCCAGCACCGAATGGGCCCTGCCTCCACCATGCTTTTGCTGCAGACAGCAGAGGGCAGGCAGTGTAGACAGCATTGGCTTCTCTGGTGGTGTGAGTGCATAGGTTGTGAGTTTCCTGGAGCCCACTGAAATTCTATTCAAAATACAAGCTGAATTTTTCTAATCTAGAACCTTAGTACTCACAGAGCCCACGTGTTGTCTATGGTAAGTTAAGTGGTAATTGAGAGGTTTGCCAATTTTTATGTGATTTATTCTGGTTTTCTTTCAACATCCTGCGAACTAAAACTTAAATATAGCTTCGTTGCGGTTGCTTCTTCCTGTTTAGAGAATCTGGCATAATATTTTGTCTTCTGGGCTCAAATAACCATGTAATTACTCTGTAATCATATAGTAATTAGCATGTACTATATGCATTTATTACATAATTATATTCTTGGAGGATTGTATGGCAATTATACTTGCATTCAGCATATCATGAACAAGTATATAATTTGTTGTTTTTTTCTTTTATCCTCATTTCAGTTTACTAACCAGGGGCTGGAAGCTTATTCTCCTGTTGCCTCATATGTACATAGCCAGGCAGGTGCCTCTGTTTTGGCCTCACCTAGCACCTCCTAATTCTACATCTGTGGGAATGTTAGGAGCTTTTGTGCTGCTGTAGACTCCTAGTATTTGTACTCCTAGCTTTCTCTTGTCATGAAGTCATTAAGTTATTAGCTTCAAAACTCATTAAGTTCTAGAGCCACTGGCAATGCCAGATAAATGGCAAGATCTCAATTAAAACAGAATAGGTGAGAACACAGAGGCAAGCACTGTGACCATGCCTGTCTTTCTCTGCATTTGCAGTGGAGCACATTCCCAAAGGGAACAACTGCCTGGATGCAGCCAAGGCCTGCAACCTCGACGACACTTGCAAGAAGTACAGATCAGCGTACATCACCCCGTGCACCACCAGCGTGTCCAACGATGTCTGCAACCGCCGCAAGTGCCACAAGGCCCTCCGGCAGTTCTTTGACAAGGTCCCGGCCAAGCACAGCTATGGAATGCTCTTCTGCTCCTGCCGGGACATTGCCTGCACAGAGCGGAGGCGACAGACCATCGTGCCTGTGTGCTCCTATGAAGAGAGGGAGAAGCCCAACTGTTTGAATTTGCAGGACTCCTGCAAGACGAATTACATCTGCAGGTAAGCGGGCACTGGCAGCCGGTGATTAATGAGGTGACAGGGAAAGTCTTGGTGGCTGCATCGGCTGCTAAACTCCCTTTTCTGTGCTTCTACCAAGGTAGAGGAGGGAGGGGAACCCAGTTCATTTGAACGAATTGGCAAAAATCTGACCTCTGTGTCTGCCACGGAGTTCTTCAGAAGCTGTTCAGGCCTCTGTGCTGGTGAAAGTTCCCATCTTTAACGCGGGAATGCTTTGAGGGATGCTAGAATGAGGTAAAATACCACTGCCTTTCCTGGATACCTCTCAGGTGAGAGGGTCACCTGGGGGGCAGTGACCTCAAGGCACACACCTGCTCCTCGAGTCCTGAGGGCTGCCAGGGATTAAGCAAAGAGGAGCTGGCTGGAGCTTTGCAGGCTCTTGAGCTTCAGGGGCAGAAACCTGGAAGAGACCAGTGAGAGGGATTGAGCAGAGTCCAGCCTTGGGGTGAACTTTGAATGCCTGGGTCTGTTCTGGACTGTTCTGTGGCTATGAAGAGGTCACCCTCCCACTTAGCTAATCTCCCAGATCTCAGCCTCCATCAGAAACTTGATAAGCCTGGACCATGTTGTTAAAAATATTCACTTCCTTTTGCTTTTTGGCCATTTCTGAATTTACTTTGATATCTGAAGGAGTCCATGAATACACTTTCTGTGTTTAAAAAACAAAAAACTGGCTGGGCATGGTGGCTCACGCCTGAAATCTCAGCATTTTGGGAGGCTGAGATGGGTGGATCACCTGAGGACAGGAGTTTGAGACCAGCCTGGCCAACATGGCGAAACCCTGTCTCTAGTAAAGATACAAAAAATTAGCCAGGCGTGGTGGCAGGCGCCTGTAATCCCAGCTACTTGGGAGGCTGAGACAGGAGAATCACTTGAGCCTGGGAGGTGGAGGTTGCAGTGAGGCAAGATGGCACCATTGCACTCCTGCCTAGGGGACAAGAGCGAAAATCTGTCTCAAAAGAAAAAAAAGAAAAACCACAGGCCTGGCACAGTGGCTTACACCTGTAATCCCAACGGTTTGGGAGGCTGAGGCAGGCAGATTGCTTGAGGTCAGGAGTTCGAGATCAGCCTGGCCCACATGGTGAAACCCTGCCTCTACCAAAAACACAAAAGCTAGCCAGGCGTGATAGTACATGCCTTTGGTCCCAGCTACTCAGGAGGCTGAGGTAGGAGAATTTTTTGAAGCTGGGAAGTGAAGGATGCAGTGAGCAGAGATCATGCCACTGCCCTACAGCCTGGGTGAAAGAGTAAGACCTTGTCTCAAAACAAACAAATCAACAAACACAAACCACAAACACAGCAGTCTAGATGTAGGTAGAGTGAAAAGAGAAAGTTACCCTTCACTCTGCTCCCATTCACCCCCAAGCTTCAGGCAGTCACTGTTAACCATTTCGTGTGTGTCCTCCCAGAACTTAGTGTTGAATTCAGTTGCTGATTGAAGCAAGTAGATTTGGGGTATCATATTGAAAAACAACTGTACTTTGTCCCTAGGTAGAAGCCCTCAATATATGCTAAGCCAGTGGACAAGCAGATGGGAGTATGACCATGTACTTGTTTCCTATTGGTTCCCCATTTCTAAAAAGCCAAGAGCAGGGAAAAAAAAAAAAAAAAAAAAGTCTGCAAAGTTGAAGATTCTGAGTTTCTGTTCAACTTAAGTTTCATTCCGGTAGAATGGGAACCCACTCTTTCCTTAAACCAGCTGTAATAATGACCAAAGAAAATTGTAAGTCCTCGTTATCTGTATAACCCTCTCATGCTGAAGACTTTCTGGGAGTAATATTTCTCCTCCTTTCTAAAACAAGTTAGAAGCAAGTGACCTGCTCTATGAGGAAGGACTCGGATGACCAAGCATCTTATGAACTGAGTTTGCATCTTGGGAAGAAACAGGTGTTCCAGCAACACAATACAAGGACGCTTCCTCACTTCCAAGCCCCTGGTTCATTAAGGCACTCTTAGCTGTGGGCTAGAAGCAGGGATAGGTGTGCTAGAAGGGTCCTGAGAAAGAGGTAGATCCTCAGCAAGCCAGGAACCTGGGGAAGCCAATCAGTTAGGGTGTCGAAGCACCTTCTGCTGAAGATGAATAAAATGAATGCAGCCAAGAAGCTGCAGGGAGCTTTGCTCGGGGTCCAGGGATGGGATGGAGCAGAGATCCTGAAGATCTCTGGATGTGAAACTCCAATTCCTGGGGCCCCTTTAGTCTCTGAGCAGAAGGTATCCCCCTTCTGGGAGCAGGACTGGATTTCTAGGGTCTTACTTGGCTTAATGCTAGACAGCTCCTCTGTGTCTCTGTAATAAGATAGGATCTTGTCCACTGATGGTTCCAAGCCAGGAGACCTGGGCTTTCAGTCCTGCCTCAAGATGGGAAGCTGTATAGGGCAGAAATGGAGCTGTGGATGAGTATTCCATCTATGGAATGATGGCTGGGAGGTGGGAGAGGTGGTGGTGATGGAGCTTTTCCTTCCTCTTCTCCCAGGTTTATCTTACACAAGATGGCCAGAGAAGGTCTGGGACCTCCCCTACACATATGGAGAAAGCCCATATTGAGCAGATAATTTGCATTCTCTGGCTTGTTCTTCTAAAAAGAGATAATCATTTGAGGGTTGGTGAGAATTCATTAGATCAAATTGCTTTCCTGCTAAGCTGCAGTGAGAATAGCTGGGAGTTGAGAACTTAGAGGGCTCTAGAGGAGGCGATGGGAGGAACCTGCAGATAACAGGATGGTTTAGGTGCTGTCTGGGGCCTCAGACTGAGGAAGGAACAAGTTCCAGGAACTGTGTGTGACATCCGTGATAGCAGGGAGTGGACTCAGCTGACAGCACAGAAATGTACAACAGGAAGCAGACGGCCCTTGTCTGTGTATTGACTTTGCCTGATCTTCCTGGAGTGGACAGCAGCCACCATGCACTGGGGTGAAGGATCCCTAGGCTGGATGGTGGGACTAGAGGCGTGTTTGTGCTTCTGCCACATTTCTGGCTCTGGGAGAAACTCAGAGGCTGTTTAGGAATCCAGATCTAGACTGTCCCAGGGCCCTACCCAGTGAAATTTGTCTCAGTGTGATTGATGGGTTTTATACACTGTCTTGAGCCTTTCCTGGGAAGCTGAATCCATGACTTCCCTGGTGTTACCCATTGTCAAGTGATTTAGCCCATAATTTCTTTCCAGAGCCTGGATTTATTACTCATGATTACCCCCTCCCTGTCGGAGGTGCTAAATGTAATTTGAGCTGCTAGGTTGGCTAGCAGTGTTTGCTTCCATCACATTTTATTACTCTTGCCTTTAATTTTATGCCTTTTATCCCATCCCTTCTCAATCCATCTGTGTGAGGCCACTGCTGTTCTACCCAGAGTAGCAGCTGGTACTAGCTGGAGCTGGGGGTTCTTTGGGTCTCACATTATAGTTGCTATAACCCTAACCCCACCACTGATGTGATGACTTGAGGTCTCATTTGAATAGCCCCAAAGGGAAGGGATGGCAAGAGGGAAACTTGCTTCCTAAAAACCATATTCTTGGAAAGCTCACACTTTCAAATGCTCCGTTTACATCTTAACATCAGCAACCATCAAAGAGCTGTTCAAGCTCATTAAAAGCTCCCTGAATTTAATATTTTCCAACTGAGGGCCTACAGGTTTCCTTCCCCAGGGTCCAACAGTGCCTCTGCACAGAACCTGTCTCTCTTCCGCCTTATGCCTTCAAACAGATGAGAAGCAACATTAGCTTTTCTGTTTGACTTTGTTTTCCTTTTTCCTTTTCCCTTTTAGGGAAGCTGACAGATTCCTTTCCCCTTGAGGTAGTTGGGGAGAGTCAGAGCCTGACTGTTTGGGCCTCCAAGCTTGTCTACAGAAAAGCAAATGCAGAGGTATTATTAGAAGGGTGAGATGGAATTTCAAAGCCTCACAGTCTTCCCCCCAAGCAATGTCTCCCCTGCCAGGTTTCCTCTGGTTGCTTTTCTTAGTGCCTGGAAAGATATCAGGACTGGTTTGTCTGAATGGAAGCATAACCTTTTGTTCCTGATGCAAATCTGTATAATTTAAACTTATATCTTCCCTCCTATCTAAGCACTGGCTCGGGTGCCACAAATAAGTTCCTATCTCTTTATTGTAATTAATCGCTCAAGTACGTCAGCTATTCTTCATTACCAGGCAGTCCAGCGCCTTCCCCCTGGGCAAGTTCCCTCATGTTTTCATCGAAGAACCACAGAGGTAGACTCCAAAATCCCTTCTGCTTCCAGTGTCAAGCAAAGAGGGAACCCAAGTCTGCTAAGCAGCCCGCTTGCCTGTGCCTTTAGCTGCTGCCACATGGTGTCGCTGTTGAGAAAAAACTCAGGGTATGCTTGGTGGTTTAGTGGCCTTGTCCTTCTGGGGCATTCAGCATGTACGGCAGAGCTGCTGCATCCTTGGGCGCCTGAGTGACAACACCTAGTTTATACTCACGTATGCAGCCATTGTTTCCGAAGCATGACATTTTGCTCTGGGGAGCTACGTTCTAAGGGGTTCCAATCAGAGCCAGCCCTCCACCTTGAACACCAGTAGCCCAGGCTCTACGTTTTCTGGCAATGTGTTACTAGGTAGAATTGAATGCTTCTCTTTTTTCTTTTGTTTAATTATTATTTTTTAGAGACAGAGTCTCATTCCGTTACCCAGGCTGGAGTACAGTATTGCAGTCAAGGCTTTCTGTAGCCTCTAACTCCTGGGCTCTAGTGATCCCCTTATCTCAGCCTCCCATGTAGCTGGGACTACAGGTGCATGCTACCATGCCTGGCAAATTTATTTTAATTAATTAATTATTTATTTTTAGCGACAGGGTCTTGCTATGTTGCCCAGGCTGCTCTTGGGCTCCTGGCCTGGAGTGATCCTACTGCCTCAGCCTTCTGAGTAGCTGGAAATTGAATGTTACATTTGCATTCCTATTGCCAACAGTGCTGGGTTAAGGGTATCTCCCTCCTTTTAGAAAGATTCTGATAATGCTGAACCTCAAAAGGAAAT